ACCTCGTGGCAACCGACGTCTTACGGTAGAAACGTTGAGAACCTGAGTGTGCAGTGAACATCACTGACTACTGCCGTTCTGCTTATTCAAACCACTCAAAATGATGCTCGTCACAAACGCTGCAGGGAAGTACCCAATCGCTGCCACTTTTCCGTCCCTTGATCCGTCCTAGTCATTGCATAACAAATGGTTCTGTCATACATCACGGCCTTCCTCCTTGTTTACATTGCTAGAGGTTGCCTTCTGAATGATTCCGTCATTCCCTAAGCTTGCATTCATTCCTCAAAGCTGTTGGAGGAGTTCATTTGATCTACCTGCTGTTTGTACAGCATCGTACCATATTCACTTTCGCCCGTGGTCAAATTCCCTATGTACCTTATGAGTTATCTGTAGAATTCGATGTGGCTGAAACGAAGGTTGGCTCGGCCAATGGCAAAGCTTTCATGCTGATCGCACTCTGTAAGAGAGGGAGGTGAAAATAGAGCACGTAAAGGCAATTGAACGTTTCGGAATAGCATGGATCAGTAGTCACAAGAACGGGTGGAAATGGACACGCTAATCAGTAGTAATGCGGGAACTAAATCGGTCTTGGCGAAGAAGAATCAGATCATCTTCAGTGATAAGAGGTTCTAGTTATCTTCAGTGATATGATGGCCTATTACGTTTCTGTTTGTCTTCAGAATTTTTAAATCATCTTCTCCCACATATTTTCACAATGCAACTCATGCTGACGTAGAGCATGAGATTCCGGATACAACTAGCACAAATGAGGTTCGTATGAAGAACAGCTTGGTAAACGTCACGAAGTGACGCGCAACAGTGATCCCAACATAGCCATCCTTGATACACTGGCATGCAGTAGGCTCTTTCTCCAGATTCACAGATCGAAATCATGATGGTTTACATACGTGACCAATATCCTACATAAGAGGCTCTCAAGATTCTCTCTGCAAAGGCGTTCAAAGGAAAGACCAAAAACAGACGGCTTCGTTGCATAACGGCACATTCGTTTTCACATTTTGGAATCTGGCCGTAGAACTAGGCCGATCCGCGGAATGTCCCAATCACTGGGAAAGACCAGCAACTAAGGTCCGAGTGTAAGGACATATTTTGAAAGTTAATGAACGGACAAATGAATAAATCGATAAACCAATGGATGAAGGAACGATTCCACACATGCCTATGTTTGGCTCTATTATTTGTTGAATCTGTATTGCATCACTGTGAATTTCTCATGCTGTCAGCAAACTCCTTAAGTCATTTCTCCATAGTCTTATGTCGAAGACAATGAGAGCTAATGCTTAGAAAGTAAAATGTTAAGGAAGAAGTACAACTGCTTTACGAATTACTTGGCACATTACAGTAATTCATTCGTGTATTCGTGGTTACTGTGAAAAAAAACGTAGAACAGGTTTTTTCATACACAACGCAAAACATACAGTGGTCACTCCGGTGACTGACCAATACCGACGTTTCGGCCCATGTCCCATGGGCCTTCTTCAGGGTAGGTCGGTGGTGAAATTTCGTAAATATGGTTGGTCGTCCGCTGCAGTCGATAGTTTCGGAGCCGAAGGCAAGCTTTAGGTTCGTGCTGCTGTCAAATAGTTTGTGAGTGACAGGGTCAACCAGTCTCACCCAATCCGCGCAGAGTTCGTATCCTTTGTCATGGTTGACATTTTCGCAGGATTGGATGATTGCCTCTTTTATCCGCCTGTGTAGCAAGTGTCTCCCTTTGATCATGCCGCTACACTCAGGCCATCAGGG